ACGCATTGAGGGCGGGTACATTACTGAGTGCACATCACCAGCTGATCCGTCAGGTTTCCACATGTAACGGAGCAATGAAACAACCGGTAGCGTGCGGGGGCCCCAGAAATGTGTGGGGATCGAAGAGGGGTCCGAAACCCTGGAAGGGGCACCAGCGCTTCTTCTGCTATCCAACAGCGGCGGGCACTTCCTGCAGGGATTGGCGGTGTGTGGGCAGCTGGGGCACATCGACGGGCCGGACCCGGCCCGGAGGGGTCTGGGTTTCAGAACCCGCCGAGCGCGGCCCCTGACCCACGAGGGCTCGGTAGAAGAGCCTGAGGTGGCTCTGCTTCGCCCCCTGGAGGCTGCTGGGTCTGGGGCACACAGTGACCGGCCCTGTAGTTATCCACCGCTACACCGCCGTGCTGCGGCCCTGCTGGCCCCAGAGCCCACCCCTCCCCCTCCTTCTACAGGCCCTGGGCACCTCTTCAAAAGCAGTGAATTCAATTACAATGCATAACAGTACAAACTGGTTTTAAGACCAGGTTAACATCAATTTTGTACTTCTTCTACAGCCAGTATGCTGCTTCGCAGAAGTCTTAGACAACAAAGCACATTCAGGATTCTCTACAGTAGGTTTACAAATAAGCAAAATATGAGCATCTGCGATTTACTCACTCTCCATTGAGGCTTCTGCTGCACTACACGGCAACAATATCTCCTTGTGTTTAGCCTGCTTAGCAAGGGGGATCACTAATTAACATTGATCTGAATCGTTATAAAGCCACGCAAGGTACACGATACATGAGCAGCCGATATGAAGGACTCTAGCAGCTCATCCATCAAGTTCATCAAGCAATCTAATCGGCCCGCTGTCAAGTGTCCCTCGTTGACACGGTTCATTCCTCTCCACACCTCCGGAGAGCTGACAGGCTAAGAGGCAGCTCTCTCAGGACTCGCTGTGAGCTTGAAATGAAATGGCTGGGATGTCTCTGAGCGAGCACGCAGAAGGTCTAAGACTTTGCAGGGCAGTGTGTATGCTGTAGCTGTTTTAGGATTCATGCACAGACACGTACAGTGCAGGCTTCATAAACAAGGTGCTTTGTCGGTAGTTTCAGGGGCAGGGGCTGCCCTTGTCCTCTCGGGGTGAAGACGAGGAGCCCGTGCACGAATGCACCAGTTCGGTTATAGAACAATAAGAATGCAGGGAGGCTAAAAAGGCTTGAAAAGCCTGGAGCTGTGAGAACCACATCCCAACTAAAGGGGTTGGTTTTTTTATGCTAGCTAGGGCAACTTCTCTACATCGCTGCTGCTCTCCCTGCTCCACACCCTCTGAGAAGTCTGTATGGTCCCCTAGTCGGGGGGGGGGTTGGTTTTACTCTTCTTTCCGTTTCAGGATCACTGCAGCAGTAGGGTGCTAGTCAGTAGCGTGAGAGAGGTTGTGACCAGCAGTACCAGCCCCTGACAGAGGGGGAGCTGTTGAGTCCCCGCCCCCTTGGGGTTGGGCGCGCCGCGGGTGTCTGTCTGCTTCTGCAGGTAGCTGTCGGAGTAGGTGATGTACATCTCCACGCAGCGGCGGACCTTCAGCTGCTCGATCAGCTCCGGGTAGCCTATCTCCATGATGCTCACGGTGTCGTTGTCGTCCTGCTCCTGCTCTCCCAGGCTGGGGCTCGGGATGCCTGGCCCCTCCCCGTCAGGCCCTGTGCCCTGTGGTGAGGGCATCGCCAAACCGGCATCGGACACAGCCTGGGTGCCGTTGGCGGTGCTGTTATTCACCTGGCTGGGCAGCGTGCCGTTGGGCTCGGCCCCGGGGTTGCCGGGGGCGTTGCCAGGGGTGTGTCCGGGGGCGGGGCCGTCACTCGCCGGCGGGGGAGTGGCCTCGGGCTGTGGCAGGAGGTCGGGCCTCTTTATGCAGTTGTCCATGAAGCTGTCGTAGCCCTGTGGCGGTGGGTTGTACTGGTAGTCGCGGCCGTAGTCGTTTTCGTCGGTGGAGCGCGAGCCGTAGCGCCGCCACATGTAGTGGTTGTAGTAGTGCGCCTCCTCCGGGCTGTGGAAGTTGAAGTTGGGCCGGGGGAAGCGGCCCAAGCCGTAGCCTACCGCCATGCCCGCCACCGCGCCCACACCCGCCGCCATCGCCGCCTTCTTCCCGAAGCCCTTGGACTTGTGCGACGGGCCGTAGCCCATGTCCTGCGCGGTCCTGGAGAAGGGGGAGCCGCCGGCCCCGTAGCCTCCTGCCCCGTGCCCGTATCCCCCAAACCTTGGGCTCGGGAATTTATTATTCGGGTTCCAGTTGGGGTACCCTGCTGGCTGCCCCCATCCCTGACCACCCCCCGGATACCCTGCTCCCCCTGGATAGGCGTGGGGATATCCCCCGGCCGCTGGGTACTGATTTGGATAGCCTCCCGGATTTACCCCTCCTCTGGCCGGATACTGATTGGGGTATCCCCCGGGGTACTGATTCGGATACCCCCCAGCGGGGTATTGGTTTGGATAGCCACCAGGATTTGCCCCAGCCCTCCCTGGGTTCTGGTTGGGATACTGATTGGGATACCCCCCAGCAGGGTACTGGTTTGGATAGCCTCCAGGATTTGCCCCAGCCCTCCCTGGGTTCTGGTTGGGATACCCCCCAGCGGGGTACTGGTTTGGATAGCCGCCAGGATTTGCCCCAGCTCCCCCAGGGTTCTGGTTGGGATACTGCTGAGGATAGCCCCCCGCCGGGTACTGTTGCTTGGGGTAGCTCCCAGGATTGGGCTTCCCGGCGGCGGTGCCCGTGTTGCGCGTCTGCCCCGTGCTGCCCGTCTGGCCCGTCTTGCTCTTGCCGAAGTTCCAGCTCGAGCCCTTGCTGCCGCTGGATTTTGACCCCCCTCCCCGGGAGCCCCCCCCACGACCTTTGCCCCAGGCGGGGTCGCAGTGCAGGCCCAGGAGCAGAAGGAGAGCCAACAGGGAGAGGCGAACGGCAGGGCGAAGCATGGCTGCACCGTCCCACCACCTGCGGGAGAGAGAGGTCGAAGGTCACAGAGAGGACTCCTGACCTCCACTTGCCGCTGGCCCAGGGGGCTTCTGGGAGAGGACCAGTGGACCAGTGGAAACCATGACTACCCTCATGCTAACTGTTATGGTCAACCAGGCAGGTCTCATTTCAGGTTTCACGTGGCTCCAGAAAAGCCAGCACAAGCCGATGAATATTTCAGACCTTCGGTCTTTGAGCCAGTTTACACAGGCAGGTGAGCGCAGACAAAATAAGACGAACTATCCAGACTTTCACTGCTTCATCGACACTCTTGCTACGTATGCGTTCAGCGGCATTCGGTCACTCTGCTTTCCAAACTTTGTAAATTCTGTCAGCTGAATGTGCCTGCTGGGTGTAATCGGCCAGAAAGTTAATAATTCAAGGCTCCTTAACATCCGCAAATATGCCACATGCATGGTTTCACCTGAACGACTGAATCAAAGCCTCAGAGGCAGAGCATTTCAAAAAGTAGAAATGACTGATTTGTGGAATTTGCATTTAAACGGCTCCGCGTCTTCGGACATGTTCTGCAGGGCATGGGACAGTTATAGCCTGGCCCAGTTCTGTGTCATGTCATGTTCCTGCATCCCACAGCCCTCTACCACAGCGGCTGAACACTTCTCCTCTGCTTGCATTTTCCTTTGTTTCTGTCTGACTGTTGCTTCTTCATAAGAGGTGCTACAACCAATATTTGTGGTACCGCTTTTTTGCTAACCACAGTCATGTTTTCTCTGGTTTTGTGTAAGTTGTGCTATTCTTGACACCTTTGTGTGTTTTGGTAAAAAGGAAGTAATTGCACATTTTCTAACCCTTCACCTAATTCAGAGCCGAGGTGTAGCCGGAGCCTATCCCAGCAAGCACTGGGCACAACGCAGGGTGTTGGACAGGACACCAGTGCATCACAGGGAACAGGGAACACACAGACACAAACACACACTCTCGCACCAGGGCCAGTACTCCCAGAAGCCAATTAACCCAGCAGCATGTCTTTGGGCTGTGGGAGGAAACCAGAGCACCTGGAGGAAATCTACGCATACATGGGGACAACGCACAATAACGGCATCACCCAGTGTCTCTACACATCGCACACTAACAGGGCACCACCCACAGTGTCTCTACACAACGCACATTAACGGCATCACCCACAGTGTCTCTACACAACGCACACTAATGGCATCACCCACAGTGTCTCTACACAACACAAACTAACGGCATCACCCAGTGTCTCTACACAACGCACACTAACAGGGTACCACCCACAGTGTCGCTACACAACGCACACTAACAGGGCACCACACACAATGTCACTACACAACGTGCAGGATGGTTTTTCCTCTTGCGTTCACAAGGTATTTTTGTCCTGAAGAAAAACAAAAGGTTGCACAATCCCCTCAAGATGTCCTGGGATTACCAGAGGGCTTTGTGACGCGGAGTGTTACCTTCATCAGGCCCAGGCAGGGGAACACCTGACACGACCTACTGTAGGAGGCAGGTCAGGAATGGAGCTGGGCAGAAATATGAACTGGACAGGCTGCAGCCTTTACAAACTGGGCTGAACAGGTAAGAATATCAGATCCTGAATAACCAGCGGACAATGTGGACTAATGTACAACCTCTGCAGATTAATTAGCCATGGATAAATACACATACTGTTAATGAATGTCAGGTATAAGGACTGATTTCTCTTTCACTTTTTTGTCGTGCACAAGATCAGCAACCCCTGAGCCTGGGGGCACTGGAAACACA